GTCTAGGACAACTTCTCTGATATCATCGTAAAGAGATGAATCTACATCAACAATGACCTTGTGAAGCAAATTCAAAGCTACAGATGGCCTAGAACCTTTGAAGTTTGTCTCAGCATTGACACAGCATGTCAACCAAAAACTACAAATAGCATGTGTAAAAAGAAAACACTAAGAATTTCATCAGATCTCAAATAGACCTCAGAAAGCGAAGTAGACGTTCTGAACAACAGGAAGCAATAACCACTTGAAAAACATATAAAACAGAATGCATATTAGAAAACTTAAACAAATCGTGATTGGCACAAAAAAATAATCTAAGGTCCTCTGAAACTAGGTGCGCAGAGAAAATTTAAGCTAAAGGAAATACACGTTTATTCATCCTCATTCTTCATCAATCTGCCTAAGACCACAGATTTCCCTAGGTAATGTTACCCTTTTATCGATACCCTGCAAAGAAAGAGTTTAATCTAAGCTTAAGAAAATGTTCTTTGGGCTCAGCAAAAATAAAAACAATACTACTTCAAAAGAATTATCAAACCTCTCTCCTTGTTTCAAACTCAGCAAGCTTAATTTAGATTTCCACCATTTGTTTCACCTGGCAAAAACATGAGCTCATAAGAAAAAACGGTGTAAAATGATCCTGCTGCATAAACCCAGCAAATTATCAGCAGAGACTTACCTCAAATATGAGATAAAAAACAGATTTTTACATATCCAGTAAACAAGAAGGTCCCAATTGATACGGGTGCAATAAGTCCAAACAAGACAACAAAAAGCAGCACAACTGATTTGATTAAAGCTTATGCACTTCAATTGGAGTAATTCATAAAACATGCCTTCAAGAGAAATCAAGAATCCAGGGACTAATTTACCATTAAATGAAGAAATATTATATTGTACACCCAGCAGAATCCGACTAACTAATACAAGTAAAAGAATAAATAACTAAAACCAAACAGAATCTATTTTGCTGGCATTTTCACCCATCTAATCATCTAAAATGAGGTTCTCTTCGTAACCTTACCACAAAGGAAGCATGCATATGCATTGTGTTTTCTTCTTTTACAATCGAAAACATACTTGATAAGTACCTTTTACCTTTGCAAAGCCGTCAAAAGGCACAAGGTCCATTTTGTAGAGCGGATCATGTATAAAAATCTGCAAACAGATGAATTTTGATTTAAGTATTTGGCATTCCATTCAAATTTTAACTTTCCGACAAGTGGTTCAGTTCGTTTTACTTCACCAATAGCAGGCAACACCTCTCTATTAATCTGCATAACCGACAAATTTCCGTACCTTGAATTCACCAACAGCATATGCTATATAATGTGTTATCACAAGAATCTCGTTCCATAAAACTTCTCGGGTCCAGCACCAAATACAAACCCCCATTACCTTAAGCAAAAAAGCAGCAAGCATTTGCTAGAGGACATGAAGCTGTCAATGTGTAATGCTGAGAGCAAATGGTGTATGTATGCTTATAACACTCAACAATCATGCATACAGGACGTAAATTAGAAGCATATATATAAACCACAAGATACATCAAAGTTCAAAGCATAACAATTAGCAGAATGTAGTGTATGCCCATGTACTTGTCATACATTTTCAGGTATCTCTTGAATTCCTGTAGAAGAAGGAAAAGCAAAAAAATATGTTTTCAAGTGAAATACACAAGTGCAAAGTTGATACGCTGCAACCACTGCCATACCTTTTCCAAGTGAAATACTTTTTTCCATGACATCATGAGCATTGAGAACACTTGTGACAAATACAGAGTCTTATCCAATAATTACCTTCTCTCCACCGGTTTTGGTACCAAAAATCTGAATTCAGGCTTCGGTTTCCTATTGCCATTTCAAAAAAGAAATTTTGATAAAGCAAGAACTCCAGAAGGATATAATGAATGTAGCAACAAAAGCTGTGATGATATATACATAATACAGATGTTTATTTTTTCAAGCCGCTTTGACCTGAAAATATACAGATTCATATAATATCAGATTGTATACACAAAAGGACAGATTGTCACACATCTTTACAGAAAAAACAATACAAAAGACAGGTTTGAATTAACATAACAAGCTACAGAAAACTGATACAGTATAAGTTAAGCTTGAACAGCAACAGAAAGGGTTGCCATTCTTGACAAGGTTTCGAACGGAAATCAATATAAACTACAAAAGATAAAGAGTACAACAATGCTTTTCTTCCACTTTTCATGCTGAATCAACCAGACAGTTAGGGTATCGCAGAAGTCCATCAGCTATATAACATAACATACAGAGTGGGAAATCAGAACAGACCCACGTAAAGAAACAAAGATTGGGTAAAAAACACCAAATGTAGAATTGAACTTGAATACAAAATCCAGAAATGACAACCCTGATGAATGAAACGCAAACAAGAAGAAAATAACTGGAAGGCAGGGAAAATGAAACATAGAGTGCAAGAATGCTGTTCTTCCACTTTTCATGCTGAATCAACCAGCCAATTAGGGTATCGCAAAAGTCCATCGCCTAGATAGCATAACATACACAGTAAAGAAACAAAGATTGGGTAAACAAAACCAAATATAGAATTGAACTTGAATACAAAATCCAGAAATGACAACCCTGATGAATGAAACGCAAACAAGAAGGAAAAAAAAAAGCGGAAGGCAGGGAAAATAAAACATGGAGCCAAGACAAAACCCTAAAACAAGAAAACGGAACCCAGAAGAAAAATGAACTAAGACAATAAAATGAAGAAAAAGATCAAACAAACTGAAACAGCAAAAAAATCACCAGACAAAACAGAAAGTCGCGATGAAAGAAAGAGTCGAATGAACCTGTGGAAGACGGGTAACTCGCCGGAGAAGACTGAGAGGCGGAGCAACTTGAAAGAAAGAAGACCGGAGACTGAAACAGAAAAGAAAATCACCAGACAAACGCATGAATCGGAAAAATCGAGAGAACTCGGACATATTCTGGAGACAGAAAGTCGCGATGAAAGAAAGAATCCGATGAACCTGTGGAAGACGGGTAACTCGCTGGATAAGACTGAGAGGCTGAGCAACTTGAAAGAAAGAAGAACAAAGACTGAAAAAAGAAAGAAAATACCGAGAAAAAACGCAAGAATCGGCAAACAAAAACTCGAAAGAGCTCGGACAAATTCTGGAAACAGAGAAACCGCAATGAAAGAGAGGATCGAGACTGAAACAGAAAAGAAAATCACCAGACAAAACGCAGGAATCTGCAAACAGAGAGATGGAGAGAACTCGGACACATTTTAGAAAGAGAGAAGTCGGATGAAGGAAAGAATGAATTCAAGTGACGAGTCAGATTTATATAGTGAGACCCACGCGATTTCTACAACGGATATATGCAAGGAACGACGCCGTTTCACACGAAACGGATTTAATTTTAAATAATTTAAATTCGTTGCATTACGATCCGTCTATAGATTTGGGCCAAATAAAGCCCATTTATATGGGCCTAACCCATTGTTAAATGACAATTTTAAAATTCAATGAGCCGAATAAAATTTTAATTAATCAATTAAAGATTTGTCATTTTATATAAAAAACAATACTCATGTGTATGGAACAATTGAAAATAATTCATTTCTATTTTTAGTTTTATTTTATTATAATAAAATTAAAATAAATCAATTATAATAGAATTGGGATCATTTTCTCCTTACCAAAATATACACTAGATAGATGCATATGATTAGACGGTCTTGGCTCTCTTTATTGATCACGCATGCAAGTGTTTTTTATATTTATATAAGAAAACAAAATCCATACAAGTATTTTTTTATGTTTTTTATGTATGTGGAGGAAAACGAAATTTATGCAAGTGTTTTTTTATAAATGGAGAAAATCTGCAGGTTGTAATAATATAAAAGGATATGATGGTCATTTTAACTTAAAAAATATAGAATACAAAGATTACAATAATAGAAATATAGAATGCAAAGACGTTTTTTGTTTGTATATTTATATAAATTTTCTCTTATTTTTATTAGAGGTGTAAACGAATCCGACTCGCGGGTTGGTTCGCGAGTCGACCCATATTTTCCTGAATCAGGCTTAGAATAATTGGGTCCAGAAAAAAAAGTCAAACGGACTAGCTCATCATGAACCAAACTCATGGCTCATCACGAACCGAACTCGTGGTGAACTAGTTTGGCGAGTCCACAGGTAGACTCATGGGCTATAATTTTTTTTAAAATTTAAAATATTTTTAAACATTTCAAAATATTTTTATATAAAAATTATATTTTTATTAGATATTTAGTTTGTTTTGTTTAAAATTTTAATTTTTTTATTATATTTAAATATTTTAAGCTATTTTTTAAAATTATATATTTGGTTTCAAGAATAACTCGTTTGACTCGCGAGTTAAAACGATTTGGACTGGACTGATCTATTTTTGAAAATTTGATGAACCTAACGAATGAACTCCTTACAACCAAAATCAACATACCACGAATTAACTCGCAGTTGAGAAATATTTTTTAAATTTTTTATACTTTTATCTTTAATTGGCCATACCCATATGTATAACTGGTTATATACTTAAATTAAAGTTCAATTGTTAAATTTTATTTTTAAAATGATTTAAAATGCTGACCGATAAGTTTTGAAAATATATATTTATAAGGCGTTTTTTGTGACGAAAGGTACGCAATCATCGATTTATTTAAAAAAAACCATGAAAACAACGCATTACACTTACAACATCATATTCGGCAACACAAATCTTATAGGATGAAACCAAATCAGAGTACACACACAAAAGGAATACAAATAAATCTCGTTACAGTTACGATATTTTACATTTTAACCAACGGTTAAATTCATCGTTTCAGTTAGAGAGCGATGTAACATAACACCACATAAACATAAGTAAAAGGAACGCCACGAAAACCATGAAACATAATAGTTCTAATTTGGTTGTGATAGGGAAACTAAGTATATCACACAAACAAACACAATGATCCAGAGAAGATAAAAGAATTGTAATACTTGTCATGTTTTTCTATCAACCGAATCTTCAAACACATCTGAAAGAAATATCCTCAAAGAGACAATCAAACATATCTTACACCATATAAGCATAAAAAAACACATTTTACACTTATAAAGGGCAAAGGGCAACCCGATGCCCAAAACATCCCGCTGAGCGGGGTTCCAGGAGGAAGGGTCCACAAGAGGTTATATCCAGCATTCGAACATGTGACCTCTAGGTCACAACGGAACACATTAACCGATGTGCCAAGGTTCCCCTTCGACATTTTACAAATATAAGCATAAAAAAAATGGCTGGATTCTCGGGTAGAAGAGGCTGAGGCCTTTTTTCTGTCCGGAATTGGTTTTTCATTTATTTTGGGTTTTTCTCTATTTATTGTTTGGTATTGCGAGTGTATGACTTTTGATTCAATAATAATTCGTGGAATTCTATCTAGATGGGACTATTAGAATCCATGTAGGATTTATAAAAAGCCGAATTCTTCTTCATGAATAAAATATCAGAAGAATTTTGATTAAAAAAAAAGTTGACGGAAGAACTTACCTAGTTCAAGGATCCCAGACCTCGTTCAGAAGAATTTTATAAACATAGGATGAGACTTGTACCTTTAAAAAAAAGGAAAAGAACAGGTAAACCTTAAAGGAAAAAGAACAAACACCATGGATGCAAAATAAGACACCAACAATCTAACACTATCAGCTTCAGTTGAGGCATACATATGGACAAGAGTACAGACAAAGAAAGCGTGCGTATGCATTGTGTTTTTATTCTTCTACGATCGATAACATATTTAAGGATAAGTACCTTTTGCCTTTTTTGCAAAGCCTCCAAGAGGGACGAGTCCCATTTGTAGAAAGGATCATGTATAAAAACCTGAAAACAGATGGATTTTGATTTAAGTATTCAGTAATCTATTCCTATTTTAACTTTCCAATTAGTGTTTCAGTTCGTTTTACTTCAACAATTGTAAGCTAAATATATTGGCCCACATAACCAACAAAGTTTCTGAAACTAGGATCACAGAGAAAATTGAAGCTAAAGGAAATACAAGTTTATTCATTCCTCATTCCTCATTCTAACACTACGGATTTCTCTTGGTAGTGTTACCCTTTTATCGATACCCTGAAAAGAAAGTTTAATCTAAGCTTAAGAAAATGTTCTTTGGGCTCAACAAAAAGGAAAACAAATACTAAAGAATTATCAAACCTCTCTGTTTCGCATTAGTATTTAAGTTTCCATCAGATACACCATGTTTCATAAGCGGATAAGAAACATGGTGCCAAATGATCCTGCTGCAGACCGATAGTAGAAAAGATAAACAGGCAAAGCATTTGAAAGAGGAACAAAAGAAGTGGTACAAGCCAATGCTATACTTTTTCTTTATCTTTCTTCTGTTATGAAACTAGCAAAACCAAAGTCTCTAATTTAAAATGTAAGGATCTATTCCCAGTCATAATTTCACATTTTGTCATTGCATTTTAATCCTCAAATGTAAAGAAAAACATTAAAATTTGAAATAAAGGGACCTACCTTAACCAGATGGTTCCTCGGAGAATAGACTTCACATAACCCAATGTGAAATTCACGGCTGACCCTAAAAAATATCCATGTCAGGGGATGGCTCCAAATCCTGACATAGCTGGACACAGTAGAAAAGGTAGATGTCTCGACAATTCTTACAAACTATTAACCCCAGAAAGATCTCCATGCAGCTCCATGTCTAGGACAACTTCTCTGATATCATCGTAAAGAGATGAATCTACATCAACAATGACTTTGTGAAGCAAATTCAAAGCTAGAGATGGCCTAGAACCTTTGAAGTTTGTGTCAGCATTGACACAGCATGTCAACCAAAAACTACAAATAGCATGTGTAAAAAGAAAATACTAAGAATTTCATCAGATCTCAAATAGACCTCAGAAAGGGAAGTAGACGTTCTGAACAACAGGAAGCAATAACCACCTGAAAAACATATAAAACAGAATGCATATTAGAAAACTTAAACAAATCGTGATTGGCACAAAAAAATAATCTAAGGTCCTCTGAAACTAGATGCGCAGAGAAAATTTAAGCTATAGGAAATACAAGTTTATTCATCCTCATTCTTCATCAAACTGCCTAAGACCACAGATTTCCCTAGGTAGTGTCACCCTTTTATCGATCCCCCTGCAAAGAAAAAGTTTAATCTAAGCTTAAGAAAATGTTCTTTGGGCTCAGCAAAAATGAAAACAATACTGCTTCTAAAGAATTATCAAACCTCTCTCCTTGTTTCAAGCTCAGCAAGCTTAATTTAGATTTCAACCATTTGTTTCACCTGGCAAAGACATGAGCTCATAAGAAAAAACGGTGTAAAATGATCCTGCTGCATAAACCCACGCAAATTATCAGCAGAGACTTACCTCAAATATGAGGAAAAAAAACAGATTTTTACATATCCAGTAAACAAGAAGGTCCCAATTGATACGGGTGCAGTAAGTCCAAACAAGACAACAAAAAGCAGCACAACTGATTTGATTAAAGCTTATGCACTTCAATTGGAGTAATCATAAAACATGCCTTCAAGAGAAATCAAGAAGCAAGGGACTAATTAAACATAAAATGGAGAAATATTATATTGTACACCCAGCAGAATCCGACTGACTAATACAAGTAAGAATAAATAACTAAAATAAAAAAGAAACTGTTTTGCTGGCATTTTCACCCGTCCATTCATCTAAAATGAGGTTCTCTCCGTAACCTTCCCGCAAAGGAAGCGTGCATAAGCATTGTGTTTTCTTCTTTTACAATCGAAAACATACTTAAGGATAAGAAGTACCTTTTGCCTTTGCAAAGCCATCAAAAGGCACAAGGTCCATTTCATAGAGAGGATCATGTAAAAAAACCTGCAAGCAAATAAATTTTGATTTAAGTACTCGATATTTCATTCATATTTTAACTTTCCGACAAATGATTCAGTTCGTTTTACTTCACCAATCGTGGGCAACACCACTCTATTGGTCTGCATAACCGACAAAGAATCGTTACAGCATATCCTGAACTTGCCTTCAACTCCTGTGACACCCCATGCCATCAAATATGTCACTTGTTAACCTGAACAGAACCACTCAAATCAAGAAAAATCTGAATATATTAGAAACGTGAACAAAAATAATTAACTAAATAGTGAAACAAGGAAAGAGGACAACATAAACATGCCCGTTCAGGAGCCCTGGGCTAAATTTAATCCCTGTTAAAAGGCAACTCCGAGATCTATGTGAACAGCTTATGCAGTGCCTTGATCAATTACGATATTCATGGCATTACCCTTCCCAAGATCAACAATGTAACACACCTGAAAGCACAAGGTAAAATCCCACCGGTGATGGGCTAGATGTATCAACAGATGATAGAGACTACTACAAAATTCAGTGCAACCAAGTAAAACAGGTTCTGGCCTCACATTAAGAAATCTAGCACAACCACCAAATTTCAGCCAACAAAGAATAGAAAAACTCACCCGGAGGGATTGTGATGTACACCTATGATCTTTACGGATTTGTCAAAAAGGTTTAAATCAGATATCACATTATCAGCACAAGATCCGAATTTGGAACCAATATCATGCATGCCTAATTGATTGAGAAAATAACAGTGTGGATCCCCGATACCAACCTGCATTCAACACAACAGAGGACGAGTCTTCTATTTTTTTTAAACCATGAACATGTAAACCATAAACGAAAAAGAAAGATATCATGGATACAAAATAAGACACCAACCAATCTAATACTATCCGATTTATTTGAGGAAAACATATGGACAAGAGTCCAAACAGCAATCTACAGTGCAGAAGCTTCAGTAAACAGTGCATGTAAGTATGTAACCATGCAGACCGATAATACAAAAGATAAACAGGCAAAGCTTTTGAAAGAGGAACAAAAGAAGTGGTACAAGCCAATATTTTTCTTTTTCTTGATCTTTCTTCTGTTCTGAAATAAGCAAAACCAAAGTCTCCCATTTAAAATGTAAGGATCTATTTCCAGTGATAATTTCACATTTCGTCATTGCATTTTAATCATCAATTGTAAGGAAATACATAAAAATGTGAAATATCGGGACCTACCTTAACCAGACGGTTCTTTGGAGAATAAACATTGAAACCCAATCTGAAATTCACGGATGACTCTAAAAAAATCCATGTCAGGGAATGGCTCCAAATCCAGATATAGCTGGGCACAATAGAACAGGTAAATGTCTTGACAATTCTTACAAAATATTAACTCCAATAAGATCTCCATGCAGCAGAACCAAACGTACTAAGAATTTCATCAGATCTCAAATAGATATCAGAAGTTAAAAAACAGAAAAAATAACTGGGATTCTGCGCACCTTAAGGAACTAGGAACTCAAGCTCTATACTACAACCAAGAATACTAGTAAACACTTCAAGTGCAGCCAAATGGTGACGAGTATGCCAATGGCAACATGCAGCTGAAAATTTGTAGTGTACTTCTACAATGAACTGTAAAACAACAAGAAAGGGTTATGAGAGGAAGTATGTTAAAAAACACAACAAATTTTTTTATCAAATGATCAGTAAGTAAAATTAAATATGTACCATCACCCACTATCTGGGCGAAAAATGTTTATCCTGTCAATAAGACAAGTGATCATAGGAAAATCATACCTGCATAAAGTGATAAAGAGAAGTAGGGAATGAAACAAAAAAAAAAAAGTCGATCAGTGAGCAAGTAATTTTACATCTATAGATAGTCATCCAAAAATTTTGAATGGAACGTGCAACAGTGTCACCGGAAAAAAGGGAAGTAGACGTTCTGAACAACACGAAGTAATAACCACCTGAAAAACATATAATAAGAAAGAAGGCATATTAGAAAATTTAAACAAATTCTGATTGGCAAAAATTATGCTAAGGTCCCCATTCTTGATCAAACTGCCTAACACTATGGATTTCTGTTGGTAGTGTTACCCTTTTATCGATACCCTGCAAAGAAAGAGTTTAATCTAAGCTTAAGAAAATGTCTTTGGGCTCCGCAAAAAGGAAGAAAAATACTGCTCCTAAAAAATTAACAAACATCTCTCGTTGTTTCAAGCTCAGCAAGCTAAATTTAAATTTCCACCATTTGTTTCACCTGGCAAAAACATGAGCTGATAAGAAACACGGTGTAAAATGATCCTGCTGCATAAAACCACGCAAATTATCAGCACAGACTTGCCTCAAATGTGAGGAAAAAACAGATTTTTACAAAACCAGTAAACAAGAAGATCCCGATTGATATGAGTGTAACAAGTCCAAACAAGACAACAAAAAGCAGCACAACTGAATAAAGCTTATGCACTTCAATTGGAGTAATCATAAAACACGCCTTCAAGAGAAATCAAGAAGCAAGGGACTAATTTAACATGAAATGGAGAAATATTATATTGTACACCCAGCAGAATCCGACTAACTAATACAAGTAAGAATAAATAATTAAAATAAAAAAGAATCTGTTTTGCTGGCATTTTTCATCCGTCCATTCATCTAAAATGAGGTTCTCTCCGTAACCTTCCCACAAAGGAAGCGTGCATAAGCAGTGTGTTTTCTTCTTTTACAATCGAAAACATACTTAAGGATAAGAAGTACCTTTTGCCTTTGCAAAGCCGTCAAAAGGCACAAGGTCCATTCCGTAGAGAGGATCATGAAAACCTGCAAGCAAATAAATTTTGATTTAAGTACTCGATATTTCATTCATATTTTAACTTTCCGACAAATGATTCAGTTCGTTTTACTTCACCAATCGTGGGCAACACCACTCTATTGGTCTGCATAACCGACAAAGAATCATTACAGCATATCCTGAACTCGCCGTCAACTCCTGTGACACCCCATACCATCAAATATGTCACTTGTTAACCTGAACAGAACCACTCAAATCAAGAAAAATCTGAATATATTAGAAACGTGAACAAAAATAATTAACTAAATAGTGAAACAAGGAAAGAGGACGGCATAAACATGCCCGTTCAGGAGCCTTGAGCTAAATTTTATCCATGTTCAAAGGCAACTCCGAGATCTATTTGAACAGCTTATGCAGTGCTTTAATCAATTAAGATATTCATGGCATGACCTTTCCCAAGATCAACAATGTAACAAGCCTAGCTTCCTAGGAAGCTGAAAAACAACACTTTGTGGATCCCCACTACCAACTCTGTTCAAGACAACGGAGGATGAAAACATTTTTCACGAATTGAACATAGTTTAAGTAAAAAAAATCCGTACCTTGACTTCACCAACACCATCTGTTATATAATGTGTTATCACAAGAATCTCGTTCCATAAAACTTCTCGTGTCCAGCACAAAATATAAATCCCCATTCCCTTAAGCAAAAAAGCAGCAAGCATTTGTTAGAGGACATGAAGCTGTCAATGTGTAATGCTGAGAGCAAATGGTGTATACAGGACATAAATTAGAAGCATATATACTATATACCCATGTACTTGGAAAAGGTATGATATATACACTCAACAGTCATGTATACAGCACATAAATTAGAAGCATATATATATACACCACAAGATACATCAAAGTTCAAAGCATAACAATTAGCAGAATGTAGTGTATGCCCATGTACTTGTCATACATATTCAGGTTTCTCTTGAATTCCTGCAGAAGAATGAAAAGCAAACAAATATGTTTTCAAGTGAAATACACAAGTGCAAAGTTGATATGCTGAAACCACGACCATACCTTTTCCAAGTGAAATACTTTTTCCAGGACACCATGGGCATTGAGAACACTTGTGACGAATACAGTAGTCTAATCCAATAATTACCTTCTCTCCATCATAGTACCAAAAATCTGAATTTTGGCTTCGGTTTCCTGTTCCCATTTCAAAAAGAAATTTTGATAAAGCAAGAACTCCAGAAGGTTATAATGACTGTAGCAACAAAAAGCTGTGATGATATATACAGATGATTACTTGTTCTAGCCGCTTTGACCTGAAAATATACAGATTCATATCATATCAGATTGTATATACAAAATGACAGATTGTCACACATCTTTACAGGAAAAAAAAAATACAAAAGACAGGTTTGAATTAACATAACAAACTACAGAAAACTGATACAATATAAGCTAAGCTTGAACAGCAACAGAAAGGGTTGCCATTCTTGACAAGGTTCCGACAGAAATCAATATAAACTAGAAACGATAGAGTGCAACAATGCTGTTCTTCCACTTTTCATGCTGAATTAACTTCCCAAATAGGGTATCGCAAATTTGAGCCAACAAAGAATAGCAAAACTCACCCGAAGGGCTTGTGATGTAGCACCTATGATCTTTACAGATTCGTCAAGAAGGTATCTTATCAAACATTTCAGCTGCACTCATATATCACATTATCAGCACAAAATATGAATTTTTGAACCAATATCTCGACTCATTGATTGAAAAATAGCACTGTGTGGATCCACGATACCAACCTTCATTCAAAACAGCAGAGGACGATTCTTGTATTTTTTTAAAAAACCTTTTTTAAACCAAGAACACATAAACCATAAAGGAAAAAGAAAGATATCATGAATACAAAATAAGACACCAACAATCTAATACTATCTGCTTTATTTAAGGCAAAAATATGGACAAGAGTCCAAACAGCAATCTACCGTGAAGAAGCTTCAGCAAACAGTGCATGTAAGTATGTAACCATGCAGACCCATAGTAGAAAAGATAAACAGGCAAGGCATTTGAAAGAAGAACAAAAGAAGTGGTACAAGCCAATATTATACTTTTTCTTTATCTTTCTTCTGCTATGAAATTAGCAAAACCAAAGTCTCCAATAAAATGTAAGGATCTATTCCCAGACATAATTTCACATTTTGTCATTGCATTTTAATCACCAAATAATATGTGTAAAAAAGAAAATACTAAGAATTTTATCAGATCTCAAATAGACCTCAGAAAGGGAAGTAGACGTTCTGAACAACAGGAAGCCATAACCACCTGAAAAACATATAAAACAGAATGCATATTAGAAAACTTAAACAAATCGTGATTGGCACAAAAAAAATATTCTAAAGGTCCTCTGAAACTAGGTGAACCGAGAAAATTTAAGCTAAAGGAAATACAAGTTTATTCATCCTCGTTCTTCATCAAACTGCCTAAGACCACGGATTTCCCTAGGTAGTGTCACCCTTTTATCGATCCCCCTGCAAAGAAAGAATTTAATCTAAGCTTAAGAAAATGTTCTTTGGGCTCAGCATAAAGGACAACAATACCACTTCTAAAGAATTATCAAACCTCTCTCCTTGTTTCAAGCTTAATTTAGATTTCCACCATTTGTTTAACCTGGCAAAAACATGAGCTTATAAGAAAAAACGGTGTAAAATGATCCTGCTGCATAAACCCACGCAAATTATCAGCAAAGACTTACCTCAAATATGAGGAAAAAGAAGATTTTTACATATCCAGTAAACAAGAAGGTTCCGATTGATACGGGTGCAATAAGTCCAAACAAGACAACAAAAAGCAGTACAACTGATTAAAGCTTATGCAATAAGTATTGGAGTAATTCATAAAACATGCCTTCAAGAGAAATCAAGAAGCAAGGGACTAATTTACCATGAAATGGAGAAATATTATATTGTACACCCAGCAAAATCCGACTAACTAATACAAGTAAAAGAATAAATAACTAAAACCAAACAGAATCTGTTTTGCTGGCATTTTTCACCCATCCAATCATCTAAAGCGAGGTTCTCTTCATAACCTTCCCCCAAAGGAAGCATGCATATGCATTGTGTTTTCTTCTTTTACAATCGAAAACATACTTAAGGATAAGAAGTACCTTTTGCCTTTGCAAAGCCTTCAAAAGGCACAAGGTCCATTTTGTAGAGCGGATCATGTATAAAAACCAGCAAACAGATGAATTTTGATTTAAGTATTTGGTATTCCATTCATATTTAACTTTTCGACAAGTGGTTCAGTTCATTTTACTTCACCAAATCGTGGGCAACACCTCTCTATTGGTCTGCATAACCGACAAAGTTTCGTTGCATCATCTCCTAAACACGCCTTCAACTCCTGTGACACCCCATGCCATCAAATATGTCACTTTTTAACCTGAACAGAACCACTCAAATCAAGAAAAATCTGAATATATTAGAAACGTGAACACAAATAATTAACTAAATAATGAAACAAGGAAAGCAGAAGGCATAAACATGCCCGTTCAGCAGCCTTGGGCTAAATTTTATCCACGTTCAAAGGCAACTCCGAGATCAATTTGAACAGCTTATGCAGTGCCTTGATCAATTAAGATATTCAAGGCATGACCGTTCCCAAGATCAACCATGTAAGAAGTCTAGCTTCCTAGGAAGCTGAAAAACAACATTCTGTGGATCCCCACTACCAACTGTGTTCAAACCAACGGAAGATGAAAACATTTTTAACGGACTGAACATAGTTGAAGTAATAAAAAACTGTACCTTGATTTCGCCAACACCATATGCTATATAAAGTGTTATCACAAGGATCTCGTTCCATAAAACTTCTCGGGTCCAGCACAAAATACAACCCCCCATTACCTTAAGCAAAAAAGCAGCAAGCATTTGATAGAGGACAATGAGCTGTCAATGTGTAATGCTGAAAGCAAATGGTGTGTGTATGCTTCTAACACTCAACAATCATGCATACAGGACATAAATTAGAAGCATATATATATACACCACAAGATACATCAAAGTTCAAAGCATAAAAATTAGCAGGATGTAGTGTATACCCCTGTACTTGTCATACATTTTCAGGTTTCTCTTGAAAGCCTGCAGAAGAATGAAAAGCAAACAAATATGTTTTCAAGTAAAATACACAAGTGCAAAGTTGATATGCTGCAATCACTACCATACCTTTTCCAAGTGAAATACTTTTTCCATGACACCATGGGCATTGAGAACACTTGTGACGAATACAGAGTCTAATCCAATATTTACCTTCTCTCCACCGGTTTTGGTACCAGAAATCTGAATTCTGGCTTCGGTTTCCTATTGACATTTCAAAAAAGGAATTTTGATAAAGCAAGAATTCCAGAAGGATATAATGACTGTAGCAACAAAAGCTGTGATGATATATACAGAATACATATGATTACTTTTTCAAGCTGCTTTGACCTTATATATATCATATCAGATTGTATAAACAAAATGAATTGTCACACATGTTTACAGAAAAAACAATACAAAAGACAGGTTTGAATTAACAAAAGAAGCTACAGAAAACGGATGCACTCTAAGCTAAGCTTGAACAGCAACAGAAAGGGTTGCCATTCTTGACAAGGTTTCGAACGGAAATCAATATAAACTACAAAAGATAAAGAGTACAACAATGCTTTTCTTCCACTTTTCATGCTGAATCAACCAGACAGTTAGGGTATCGCAGAAGTCCATCAGCTATATAACATAACATACAGAGTGGGAAATCAGAACAGACCCACGTAAAGAAACAAAGATTGGGTAAACAACACCAAATGTAGAATTGAACTTGAATACAAAATCCAGAAATGACAACCTTGATGAATGAAACGCAAACAAGAAGAAAATAACTGGAAGGCAGGGAAAATGAGACATGGAATCGTATTTAAAAATCAAAGAAACAACGAAGAATAACGAGGAAACGAGAAATATCCTGCATGCACCACAGATGTGAAATAAACCTACACCCAAAAAAAGGTAACCCAGGAACCAAGGCAAAACCCTAAAACAAGAAAACGGAACCCAGAAGAAAAAACCATAAAACCAATGAGAAAGAAAGTAGACAGGCAACAGAACGAACTAAGACCTTAAAATGAAGAAAAAGATCGAACAAACTGAAACAGAAAAGAAAATCACCAGACAAAACGCAAGAATCGGAAAAATCGAGAGAACTCGGACATATTCTGGTGACAGAAAATCGCGATGAAAGAAAGAATCGAATGAACCTGGAAGACGGGTAACTCGCCGGAGAAGACGGAGGAGAGGCAGAGCAACTTGAAAGAAGAACAGATACTGACAGAGGAAAGAAAATACCCAGAAAAAACGCAAGAATCGGCAAACAAAAACTCGAAAGAGCTCGGACAAATTCTAGAAACAGAGAAACCGCTATGAAAGAGAGAATCGAGACTGAAACAGAAAAGAAAATCACCAGACAAAACGCAAGAATCGACAAACAGAGAGATGGAGAGAACTCGGACACATTTTAGAAAGAGAGAAGTCGGATGAAGGAAAGAATGAATTGCAAGTGACGAGTAAGATTTATATAGTGAGACCCACGCGATTTCTTCAACGGATATATGCCAGAACGACGCCGTTTCACGCGAACGGATTTAATTTTAAATAATTTAAATTTATTACATTACTATCCGTCTATTAATTTGGGCCAAATAAAGCCCATTTATGTGGGCCTAACCCATTTGTTAAATGACAAAAAATTAAAATTCAATGAGCCTAGTGAAATTTTTATAGAAATATTTAATTAAATATTTGTCGTTTTAAATTAAAAAGCAATATCAAATTTAAAGTGTGTAACTATTTTCTTGGTGAGAATATTAATTATATAAATCTACATTCAACAACTAGTGTTAAGCACAACACATGCATAAATGCATCATACAAGATTTATAGATTTTGGATAACAGTACCATAATAACTCATAAGGGAAAAGAGAAGTAGCAGGGCTTTGCTCTTCATTCTCTACAACTGCTTCAATGGAGCACTTTCATTGCTTGAGCAGTAACCTAAAACCCTAGATTTGATCTGAACAAAACATAATTTTGGACTTTGAGAAATGTTATAATCATCAATATAACTGTTTAATATAAAAAATCTTGTAACTGAAGTACCTTCTCTACTGCATCAGCCATGCCCGAGGACTCTTGCGCTTTTTTCCTTAGTAGATTTACCCGAGCTTCCATTAGGCGATTGTGTTCTTCGGCCTGACAAACAAGACAGCCAAATGAAATCAGATTCTGATGGGCATATAAATCTTGGACTGGTGTTCAAGTGAAAGTTTATGTTCTCTCTTTTGATTTGTCTCACCCGTTGAAGCAAATCTGTCAACTGTTGGATCTCCTGCTTCTTAGCTGTAGATAGATCTTTCGCTATGTCCATCACGTTCGTCCTAGGATTTAGCCGTCGTGACGAAGAAGTTAGGGATTCAATCGAAAAAGATGTGGGAACATACAGTTGCATGATACATACTTGTCCGTATACAGAGGATCCAAGCTTTGTTCTTCAGCAAGTTGCTCTACTGTATCAAGAATAGCTCCGACCTGGCCAAAGAAATAATTTTATTTTAAAGGGCTCGGAGATCATGCAACATCATTTTCAAGATGAGCGGGTTTCGCAACTATGTACATTGCGATGGCATAAAACAATAAATAGGGATGAAGTGAGATTCTGCAGTCAGTACCTGAGTTTCTTGACATAATGCTTCAAACTCATTCTGTTACAATGGAGAATAACTATTTTAATTCCTGACTTATCAAAAAATAAGCCATATTACGATTAGGAATGATCTTATCAGCGCCAGGCATTGTACTAAAACTAAGATAACCCTAATCAGAGAATTACATGCGTTAAAATCAACAGTTACCTCTATGTTCTGATACAAAGACGCGATGACCTGAAAAACACGTAGGAGAACAATATAAGCTTCAAGGTAAAATACATAGAAACATGATAGATGAAATAATAAGATATAGCTCTTGAAGATGATTATAACTATTAAAGCCAGAGCTTAAATATACAGAAACATGACAATCGAAAGGTGATGAAATAATAAGATATCTCTCTTGGAGGTGATAATTGAAAACTAAACCAGCAGTGATATTATTCCTCTAGATGATTATGAAGTATTAAACCAAAATTCCTTAAAAGATTTGCAAAAAAAAAACAAAGAAACTCAAGATTTCAAACATTCAACGTGGAGTTCTACTTCGGGTGCATAGATTTTGCACTCTTCCAAGTAGATCTGGTTTTCGGTTGCATGTCCGGGATGATAGTGTAATGAAATGAGCCCATTTGAAGTGTGTGCAGTGTGCATATGATGATCATCAATACAAAAGTGAGATACCTGTATATATAGCCCATACAGACGATCTTGCTCAGCACCGCTAAACTTTGAGAAGGCCTTGACAAAATCCTAGATGATCAAATTGAGAAAAACCTAAGATAAATGTTAAAAGGACATGAATCATGAAGACCAAGACTCCGAATAAAGAATTTACAAACTTCATCTAATTACAAAACTAATCACATCCTCGGTGCCATTGTCCACTTCTCTAATCTACTAACCAAGTCAGCACCAACACTCATTCACATTGGTGTAAGGGTTATTAACTAGTTTTAAATCATGAAAACAGATAATCAAACTGAATTCGACATGTCAGAGCTCAAAAATTTAACCAAAGAACTCTTAATAAAACTGCACAATTATAAGATTTATTTTTCCAAGTGCCAATTTATCAAAACTGTAACCATAAAACCTCACTGAACTAAGCAATTTTCAATCTTTAAACAAAAGAAAATCAACACAAAGCTGTCCTAATACAGCTGCATATGAATAAATCCAAATCACGGAAAACATAGCTGGAGCTTCATTACCTGTTTTGAACAAGCAGTGAGAAGAGAACGAACGGCAAGCTTGAAGGATTTATTCAGATCCACTTGTCTTGATCCAGGAATCCCCATTGTATCACCCACTTTCTCCATCTTATCGGAGAAGAATGTAAAACAGCCCGAGAAATTCTTGAATACGAAGATTATAATGAAAACTGCGAGCAGCAAAAGTCGCACATTCTGTGAATTCATGAGAAATTTCTAACAAAACAAACTACTCCAGATGTATATGAAGGAGGTCCCGAGTTTCATGTAAGCAATCTTCATGGCTCTCGAAATCTATCACAAGAAGTAATATGAAATTCATCTTTTTTTTAAACAATCATCAGCATTGTTGCCATTAGAAAACAAGCATAAACAAAACCCCGAAACTTATTTCTTAAACAACTAACATGGGTTGCAATAAGATCACAAGCCACTTGAAAACAGAGTTAACTCTAAGAACTGTCACTATAACCTGTCAATATGCTCAATATCTTAACATGAGAACTGAAACCTCGCTGATTCGTACAACCCAGAAAACAAGGGGCAGAAAATTGGTGATGATTTTCTGTTGGCTTTTATCAAGTCTCTTACCACTAATGAAAAGTACTCAAAATTCTACTGTAACACAAAACAAGGTACAAATTTCCGCTAAGAACACGAGACAAATTCATATGGCAGCACAAACAAAACAAACCCACATTCCCTAGCAAAAAAAGAAAAACATCCAGAGCAAAATATCCACCAAATCAAGGACCAGACTATAAACTAAATTCCCATTACATATCACGACCAAAAACGAAACTGCCTTGTGAATTTAACACAGAAAACCCAAAAACTGCAAAAAATAGGTATCATAAAACCAACAGGAAACCAGAAAACCCACGAAGTGAAACAACCGATTTCCGGTCCAAATCTAACACCCAGATACTGAAAGACGAACGGCAAAGGGGAAGATTGAGAAGAAGAATAAGCGAGGAGAGAGAGACAGATTCTCACCGGCGATGAAAACCGGAGACGGCAACGAGAGAGGCTAATGATTCGGGTGAAATTTCTCCGTTGTTTGGAAAGCCATTTCGTAATTTCGTGTAGAGACTAGTGGGGACGGTTTTGCCAGACGATTTGAATTTTCGAAAGAAGCTGCAAAAATGGCGGAGGGAAATTTTCGAGGGAAACTCGAAGCAACAAAACCTTGCAGCAATCCCTATTGTTAACACTGTGAATCAAGATCGAACTAAACCGGTATGAATCGAACCGAATGTAACTCGGTTTTGATTTGATTGGATTTTATTGTCATCCCAATTAATTTGAATCTAAATAAACATAACCAAATCAAAAGAAATAAACCAAACCAAATTCAACATAATTATATATAAAAAAAATAACACCGGTGTCCACACAGATATATTAAAATATTAAATAAAAAATATATAATTTTCAAATCTAAACCCAATCGAAAAATATAAGAGAAACTTACCTTTTGCTTAATTTTATTATTTCCTTTTTTTTAATATTACCATTTCTTTTTTTCTTCAGCAAAGAAGGTTCTTGGTCCTCCGGTCGTATTAAAAAAACCTTTAGTCGGCGAAAAATATCACCGAAAAAAAGGAGGGTATGTCGGTCATTTCAGTCTCGAGTGAGGATGATTTCGTCATTTTACATATAAACCCCCAACCATATGTTTCGACGAGTCAAGAAACGCCGCCTCAATGGGAACTCCAGAAACATCCCGAGAACCTTGTCCCGACAGGATCCTCGACGACATCGGCGGCGCCTTCGGCATGGGAGCCGTCGGCGGCTCTGCCTTTCACTTTCTCAAGGGCGTCTACAACTCTCCCATCGGATCTCGCGTCTCCGGCGGAGTTCAGGCGGTGAGGATGAATGCGCCACGAGTCGGTGGGAGGTTCCCCGGG